CTATGAAGTGAATGGTAATGTGAATGCATAATGAAGCTGGCTCGAAGAAGGTAGGCGAAACCCGTGAATACTCCGTACAAATTCACACACACACACACACACACACACACACACACACACATATATATATATATATATATATATATATATATATATATATATATATATATATATATATATATATATATATATATATATATATATATCTGTGTGTGTGTGTATGTGTGTGTGATTTGAGGGTTTGGTGTATAGAAACGAGCTTATGGACAGAATAACGACTGACACTCCCACGTTTCAATTCACAATAATGTGGGTGAGGCGATAGCCGCCATGGTAGCTCAGTGGTATAGCACTGAACGCGTTATTCGAGTGTCGCAAGTTTGGTTCCTGCCCACGGCAAGTTATCTTTTCACCCACTTTTCTTTTTTCATACTATTTACATTACAATTCGAACTAATAACTTCCCCTATACATTCCGTAGCATTATTGTCTGTTAGATCTCATTAATATTGTGTCAAACATGGAAAAACGAGCCCTTAATATACACTTATTTCCTTCCATCATCATCATCATCATAATAATAATCATCATGATCATCATCATCATTATCATCATCATCATCATCATCGGCCTGACTACGTCCACTCCAGGAGAAAGGCCTCTCCCATGTTCCGCCAGTTAACTCGGTCCTGTGCTTGCTACTGCCAATTTATACCCGCAAACTTTTTAATCTCGTCTGCCCACCTAACCTTCTGTCTCCCCCTAACCCGCTTGCCTTCTCTGGGAATCCAGTTAGTTACCCTTAATGACCAGCGGTTATCCTGTCTACGCGCTACATGCCTGGCCCATGTCCATTTCCTCTTCTTGATCACCGCTATGATATCCTTAACCCCCCTTTTGTTCCCTAATCCACTCTGCTCTCTTCTTGTTTCTTAAGGTTACACCTACCATTTTTCTTTCCATTGCTCGCTGCGTCGTCCTCAATTTAAGCTGAACCCTCTTTGTAAGTCTCCAGGTTTCTGCTCCGTAGCTAAGTACTGGCAAGATACAGCTGTTGTATACCTTCCTCTTGAGGGATAGTGGCAATCTGCCTGTCATAATTTGAGAGTGCTTGCCAAATGTGCTCCACCCGCATTCTTACTCTTCTAGTCATTTGAATCTCGTGGTTCGGCTCCATGGTTATTACCTGCCCTAAGTAGACATAGTCTTCTACAACTTGAAGTGGACTATTACATATCTCAAAGCGCTGCTCTCTTCCGAGGTTGTTGTACATTACTTTCGTTTTCTGCAGATCAATTCTAAGACCCACCTTTCTGCTCTCCTTGTCTAACTCCGTAATCATTAGTTGCAATTCGTCTCCTGAGTTACTCAGCAATGCAGTGTCATCGGCAAAGTGCAGGTTACTAAGGTACTCTCCATTAACTCTTATCTCTAACTGTTGCCATTCTAGGCCTCTGAAAACCTCCTGCAAGCACGCGGTAAATAGCATTGGGGAGATTGTATCCCCCTGCCTTACACCCTTCTTGATTGGTATTCTGTTGCTTTCTTTATGAAACATTATGGTAGCAGTTGATTTCCTGTAGATTCCTTCCAGGATGTTTATATATGCTTCATCGACGCCCTGATTCCGCAGTGTCTGCATGACTGCTGATATTTCTACTGAATCAAACGCCTTCTCGTAATCTATGAAGGCTATGTATAGTGGTTGGTTATATTCTGATCATTTCTCTGTTACCTGATTGATAGTATGAATGCGGTCGATTGTTGAGTAGCCTGTTCGAAAACCTGCTTGTTCCTTTGGTTGATTGAATTCTAATGTTTTCTTAACTCTGTTAGCAATTACCTTTGTAAATAGTTTGTATACTACAGAGAGCAAGCTGATCGGCCTGTAATTCTTTCAGTCCTTGTCATCTACACGTGAACCTATGCATATGCTAACATCGTTGACGCTTTCGCTGATGATTATGGTTAATCATGTTCAAGTGCTTTGTAACGGTTGGCCTTTAAGCCACCCACTCGTTGTGCGATTCATACATTTTCACGTCTGGTGCGGTTAAATGCTTCTGCCACGCAACGTTACATACGTTACGGAGGCTCCTGGATGGCCTATATTCCCAGCATTACAGTGTGCTAAAAAATTGAAGGACACTTTGTCAATCTCAAAGTGTGTTCTGCGAAAGCCTCTGGCAATTCACCTGAGTATGCCATGCATTTTTTACACTCTCTCAACAATCACGTGATTGCTGAGAGAGTGTAAGAGAGGCCACAGCTGACACCGTTCCAGGACACGGACGAACAGACAGATGCTAGTATAAGTCATTAGAGGCCCTTGCCTTAACACAGTGTCATGCTGGGAATAGTGACCAGATCGAGGAGAGAATTGTGTTGGAGGTGGGGACTACGAGGATAGAGTGATGTTGGAAGTGGTTGGTTTGAGGGCACTTGGCACGTGTGCTGATCAGTTTTTGTTTTAGGGGCGAAGCTCCTTAAGGTCGAGGCTTGTCCGTTGTCACGTCGTAGCCAGCCGCTAGTGCTCGAGCGCCCGCTTGATGGGTCTGCGACGCTCGCTCCACTCCCAGGCGCCGCGATGGGAAAGCTCGTTCGCATTCGCTCGTAACCAAGGCGCATAAGCGTTGCTGCTGCGCAGTAGTCCGCCTCCTGCGAAAGACGCTCCGCGAGAAGAGCATTCATGGACCGGGGTATAAATAGCACGTGGCGTGTGCGCTAAGTGCACTCTGTCTCTCTGGCCTTCGCTAGCCTTGTCGTGTCTCATGTAAGGCTGCGTTTGTTGACTTTTGTAAATATGTAAATAATACGTGACTTAACATGAAAGTGTTTCATGCCCGGGTTCACCAAGATATCAGTGACACATTTCGGTCACAGAAGTGGCTTCGAAAAAATACGCACAATCAAAAGACGAAAAAAAAGAAGTCCCGTCAACGGGAGTCGATCCCATGACCTCTGGGTCAGCGACAGCACAAGCCGGGCGCGCTATTCACTGCGCCATGATCACATATTTTGCTGGCGTTAAAATACGCCTTTTGTGTCTACCGAAACCCAAGTGGTCAAAATTTACTCAATGTAATAAATTTAGCGGCGTACTTCATAATCAGATCAGGGGTGTGACACTTCAAACCCGAAATTTTATTTCTTGGAATTATTTTTCTGAAGTTTAATGGGTGAATTCTGCACATATACCTTACTTGGTTTCGGTATCAGTCTTCATTTCGACGATGTCTATTAAAGGTGAACACATGCCACACAGATTCTGACCACATTTAGGCTAGTAACGTCACTTTTTCATTATAGCAATAAGTAGGGTAGGGCGACACGATCCCGTGATTATCCGTTGCACAGTTTAGCAGGTGCCGTCGTGGCGACCGATGAACCTGGGGCAGTGGAAGCCACGCGCGCATATAATCGCGAGAGCGTCTTCGAGTGTCTGCCACTGCGCTCCTTCTTCTTCTTGTCTGAGGATGTGGAAGAAGATTGCGCGTCTGACCCTCGCGACGGCACATTCACCTCTCTTGTCGCTCCTAAACTTTAAGAGGGACCAAAAAAAAAAAAAAAGCGAGGTCTTGTCTCGGGTCTCCCGGCTGACCGTATTCGGGCTGTTTTCAGTATATATATCTTTTTCAGTATATCGTCGGACACTTTCTGTGGAGTTTTACTGGCCACGACGTTTTTGCTCCAGAATACGATAATGCACCGTCCGAGGTAGAGGCGGATCGTGTCTGGGAGCACGTGGAAGGCGTCCACGCTGTCGAAAATTTACCGAGGGACTAATGTGCGGCGTCTCTCGTTACCGAAAGTTGCGGTTCTTTCTGGACTGTGAGCGAGAGAATGAAAAAAAAAACACACAGAAACTTGTTTTGCACGCCGGTGTACATCAATGACAGGCAGAGCCATATTTAGAAGAGCGCGGCTTTAGGCCAGTTGGTGATTCTTGATTATGAGAGGTAACCGCAGAACCACACGGGGCACAGGGAGGCAATACGAAGCAGGTCGTGTTGTCTCTTTCTGCGTGTGTCTTGTGATTTTGCGGTTTTATTTTTCTAATGCGCCTGATGAAATCGTGCGGGTGGATTGGGTGGCGGTTTCGGTTTCACTGACCACTTACAAAATGAGTGCAGTTGCTTCCACGCATTCGATGTTCCGATATAGCCAAAGGCGAGTAACTAGACAATTTAAAAGAACGCGACGGACAGCAATTGATTAATACATGATTACATGTCGCAGGCACGTTTAGCCAAGTAGTTTTATCGTAATCCGACACTGTATGGACAATCTTGCACCACCATATTTTGTTCACTCTGCGTCAGGGAAAGGATATCAAGTGTATAACAACACCCTTTGTAATTAATTACTGCAAGCGCTTCACGGAGCATTGTCCTTGTATTCTTGTGGGTAACACTTTCTACAACAGAAGCATATACTCTAATGAACATTTAACTACATTTATGAAGTACGCTAAACTTCATCATACGGCACTTATTCGACGATTACATGATTACGCTCATTAGGTGGCCATCATATAACTCCACAGTTCGTGCTGCTTAGGATTACATTCTCAGTATGTAGTTCGTCTTTAATATAGGCGCAAACACAGCAAAGAAATTGGGCAGGGCGAATGATGCAGTCAGCATAATGAATAGCCAGTTACCTGTTGTGACTGCAGTCTTAGTTGATGCCAAAATCAAGGAAATTACTATCGAGACCCACTGTTCAGATTTCATTTTAGATATGAGGACGTTCGGGGATGGTAAATATACGAAGTGCTGGAGCCGGTCATACTGAAATTGTGCAAAAGATTCAGAACTATAACAAACAATCTAGAGAAAAAAAAGCACTGTTAATTCACATCTGCGGTCTACAGCGCACAGAGGATGTCTCTGTAAGCAAAGTCTGAAACATATAGAGCGATCATCCATAGCAGCACTGATAAAGTACTTTGAATGCAGCTATGAGCAACACGACCTCAAGATCGACAACAACACATGTTGGAGTCGCACGTGCATAATCATTTACACTCAGTCATACACCTTGATTTGACCAATTAACCCAAAAATTATAAATGTTATTTAAATAAATAATTATTTCGTCCGCTTTTCAAAACACGCTAGCAAAGGTATGCCGCACGAAACCGTCTTTAATATTGTCATCTGTGAAGTGGGTGTTCGGTTCAGTTGAATCTCTTAGGAAAGCTTTTCTTCTGTGCACCCTAGTTTCTCTGGCGTTAAATCCTTGAGGGGAACACCGTTGAGTGGCTCTGGTGAGCCACACTCCGGATACGCCCACGAATCGGGGTAGCCGAGCAGAAACGACACCTTGCAGTCGCAGTGCACCGGATTCCCTGCACAAGAGATGCGATTTGGTTTCATTTATTGACTTTCATTTGCACATACACATACGCACGCACACAGGTACGACAGAGTAGTGAAAGTAGATGGATGAGGGAGAAGAGCGGCACCAACGCGGCGTGGTCGAACATCGCCAACTTTAGTACTGTATGGTTACATAAAGTAAAGTATGTCATACGTACACTTCGTACAATGCGCTCTTGCAGGGCCACAGAGCATGAGAGTTATATACAGTATAGAGAAAATTGAAAACATATTCGCACAAATGATTACACTACTCTGATAAAGCGCACTCGTACCGACTACAGCGGCCGTGTTATAAGGAGTGGAGGCTCGCACATGTGAAAAAACTTGGTAGTGGTGAGTGCGAAATCCGTCACACACTGCATTTTAGATAGTCTAATGCGCGCCATCTTTGTGCGAACGGCAATAGTTTGTGGAACATGCTCGGCTTCTATAAACTATTTGCAATGTGTTTCCCATGACTGATCACACTTATATGGAATCTAAATTCTTTTTTATTATT